CCTGTATTGTATTTAATCTTTAAAAGCTCTGCACTGAAGGGGTAAACCGCATTCTGCCGTTCCTTCACAGTGTCTATTCATGTCTCTGTTTCATATGATGGTTGCCTCGAACGTCCTTTATACGCTGTAAAGGTTAAATGTTCGGTTTCTAAAATTGCTCGATGGAGACAGGCTGAGTCATGAAGATACATTCCGCGTCCTATTTAGACGAAGGGGGAAGGGCATTGTGCATCTAACATTGTTCGCACCACAGTCAGCTGATAATTTGCCGCCTCTTGTTCCTGCGTGGTCTGACCAACAACCGAACTCTGGAGATTAGATAGAATCATATACAAACCCTTGACCCTTTTCCTTGACAGAATTGTAAGCCTCGAATTCCATCTCAATGAGTCTAGTTGGGAAGGAGATATATGATGTACCCGCCGATGACGGAAGTAGTAAGAAGCGATGAGGAGTGTCACAAGACACCCCCTAAAAAGACCATATCGGGATGCACAGGCCCCAGACACACCCAATATTATAATCGGGCAAGAAGGAGGAGGGGCATGGCGGCGGCGAAGGACAGGTGAGGGCCCGAGATGGGCAGCTGAGGGGAGGCGATTGGAGGGGCGGGTCACAGCACGCACATCAACGAAGTTCAAATCCATTTCTCGATCTTGAATACGAAGGCAGGATGAGATGGTGAACTAATAGTGGATCCTGTACGTTCTTGACATGATCGATGACTGGATTAGGCACCCGAGTACCCTTGCTCGCATCCAGGTGCCTAAGTATCGCATTTGCGTCGTGTTGGAGGTTTAGAGCGCGTTCTTGAGGGTGTTCAGCTTTTCTCACAGATGTGGCCTGAATGGGCCAGTAGGTCGCATTCAACGCCATCGTAGTGATATCCCGATCACATTGGTATCAAAAAGTAGCGAAGGGAGTTAGGAAAAGTTTATCGAGATTTGAGGCCTCTAGGGCCTTGCGTTGCGGCGTGATTTCAAAAATTAGATTCCTGCGCAAGTTGATGTTTTCAATCGGGGACGCTCACGCCAATTTGCATAGTATAGTGCATCTTTTATTTTCTTGAGGAAGGAGCAGGCTGGATGCAAATTTCTCATAGAGGCAACAGCAGCCGTGTCATGGCTTCAAGTGGAATTGTTGCTGCATATGGGGTCGGACTAAGCAAGGGTGACGTACTCGTGAAGCTCTTGGAATAGTATTGCATCCGCGCCGGTCATACTGACATAAAAGGGCTTGAGGCTGCGATAAAGGTAGGTCATCGCGGAGAGATTTCCAACACATAATCTTATGATACAGAGCACAGCATTTTCGACTACAAAGCGCTGCCATTTATCTTAACTGAAATTTCTTCCGAAAGCATCAACATCACGATGAACCATTGCGATAGAGAGTTATTGCACTTCTTGTTAATCATGTTCCTGCTTTTCGGGGTCATGTCAATACTGCTTCGCGCTGCTATTGGGCTTGATGCATGCCACCGCACAAAGTGAGACCCCAATGGAATCAACCAGCCAAGGTACTAAAGTGTGTCTACCTAGACTCGCACCTGTCCAAACTAACTGTTGTACTTACACGAAGGGTTAATTTCGGGCTGCTTCTTATAACTGCTGAGGATTTGCCAATGAACGGGCTGGTATAGCGGTTGCCTTCGAGAGAAGAAAGAGTCTGGTATCGGCAACGAGGTGACGACTTACCCTAAGGAAAACCTGATTTGAAGCGGGAATGGAGAAGTGTATTCGATGACAATTACGGAGAGACTAATATGATGCGTCGTTGGCTAGGTCGTTATGCTCGAACGGACAGCGTTTATCTTAGTTTCATCGCAGAGCTCCCGCAGAATTGCATTGTTAGCTTGCTATAGTGTCAAATTCTGATAGCTTGGGATTGTTTCAGTCTTCGGTCCGGAGAGGGTCGGCACTAGAAGGGGCAAATCTGTGATGGACATCGTGTCTCAAAATCACCATTTGCCATCATATGTGGGTGGAGAAGACCCGCTTGTAGGGAAGACTTTATTTGTGTTTTTCTCTTCCGTAGCTTTCATTCAACCTCGATTTATAATTCCTATGAGGCTCATAATCATGAGATGACCGCGACTAAGCATTCTTTTACTATGTGTACTGAACATGCAGATATCCACCTGCTCATGACGTGGACTATACTAATAGAGCGATATATCTAAGGATACAATCAGCGGCTCTTGAGGGGTTTCCCTCTTACCGACTGATAACGTGGGATACCACATTGACCAGACGCTGCAAGAGCATCCGATGGTGTGAAGAAGGCGCTTGCCACTCGAGCGATTGGAGGTATACTTCAAATCTTTCAAGAGAGTGGAATTATTTCCTTTAAAGAATTTTAAGAGCGACACCAGGCAGTTCCGTACCTGGAAGTGCGAAAGGACCACAATTGAGGCCAGACATCATACTGATTGACAGATGTATGTCAGAAGAACGTTCTGGGGTGAACTTAAGGTCCTTGCATACTAATTTACCAGACTTTATTATATATTTCAGCTCCCTTCCGTCCTACATAGTACCCCTTTAATCACTTCCCAAGGTAGCCTTCATCTTCCGACTCCATTCCTCCCGCTTCATCCGTAGGAGGATCAACGGAATGCCACTCAACAGACAGAAGATACAAGCGGCTGTGAAAGACCATCCGGTTCCAATGGCATCGAAAAGCGGTTGAGCAATGACGGCACTAACACACGACAGGCTGTTTCGCAGCAGATTGTTCACCGCAACGCCGACGGTTGATTTCTTTGGGGTGAACTCGGTCAGCATGGTCATGGTCACGTTGGTAAGGATCATTCCACTGAAGCCATAGAAGAAATTTCCGATCAGCTATATGGTGTTATTGTCAGTCGGAGTTATTCTTGACACGAAATTTTGCCCAGGGTTTATTGCCGAACTCACCGGCACCAGCCAGAAGACTAGCTTCTCGGCCGTCCATCCCCACCATAAGAGCGCCCCGGGGAACAGAATGCCCGCCATCAGGCAATTTTCCCCCAGCCTATCTACCGGATGCAGAATCACCTCTCCTGCCTCATCATATCGGCCCTCCTTCCGGGCGGTGCGCGCCATGATTGCATCCTGCCAGCGACCACCGATGATTGCCCCGAACAACAACCCCAGACCCCCAGGGATGTAGGCGACCCCGACGATCACAGGACTCCAGGAGTATGGGGCCACGGCGAAGGTATCCTCGATTGAGACGCAAATGAGATAATAGGTAGCAAACACTATCGCGGTATAGTAGACCGTGATTAGAATAGGCGGGTACTGGAGGAGCTTGGCCGCCTCTATGGGCTTAAGGAGGAAGTGGACGGCCTTCTTAGCGGGGCTGTTAGCGTTAGCGCGGTGCTCGCGCTGATTCTCTGCCAAGTCTGTCGCTGTTTCCGGTAGACAAAAGACCATCACCATGAACACGACCCATCCGTATATCACCATAAACCACTGCGTGCTGCGCCAGCCCCAACGCATAGTGAGCGCTCCCCCGATTATGGGGGCGAACATGGGACCTAGCATGGGCCCTAGCATGAAGGCACCCATGGCTTTTCCGCGCTCGTGCGGCTCAAACATGTCGGAAATAGTGCCTGCGCTGACAGATTGAAGGGACGCGCTTGAGGCGCTGCCGAGAAGGCGCATGGCGATGAACATGCCAATATTTGGGCTAATGGCTGCTAGAATGCAGAAAACACCGAGAAAGAAGAAAGACAGCAGATATACGAGACGGCGACCGTACAATTCGGCGAGGTAGGACCACCAAAGAGGAGTAATGGCGACGGCCAAGGAACCGAAGGCGATAGACAGGTTGACAACAGATTCGGTGGTATGAAGGTCGGCAGCGATTTCAAGCAAGCAGGCTGTTTAGCAACCCAACATGTAAGTTTGAAGTTTGTCTGAAGAGAGTGAGAGAGAGAAGGTACATACGGAACAAGACACCGCTGCTCAACGGAACGACCAGGCCACCAGCAGCAACGATGAAGGTTAAGAACCACTTTACCCTCGAACTGTATGATCGGGGATCCTGTACGGACGGGACCACACACAACCATGGGATAAACCCTCTGCGCACCCGCCTGGAGGCATTATCATCAATCTTCTCGCGCTCAAGTCCCAGCTTTGTCTCGACATTAGGCAGGGCAAGTGTGTCGATTGAGTCCGTTCGCTCGTGGTCTGTCCTGATTTTCATGCTCATGGTTGCTTGAGATTCTGGGCAATTGCTTCGAGGTCTGTCTGACATATCGGAATGTCTTTGCTTTCTTTGAACTGATAGTGAGTATGACTTATATCCCAAATTTGACGAGGGAGATGCTTGCTTTTCTATTGACATCGAGAGGGCCTAGTGCTTCATACTCCAGGATCCATGTCGGCCGAGCTGTGGGACCGCCGCACGGTGTCCTCGTACGAGCTGTGGGTCCATACAACCAAGAAGGATAGGCTACCGTGGGCAGCTCGGATGAGTACCTCGTACGAGGTCCTATCGATCCCTAACAATGGACAGCGAGAGGCAGGGGCTGTAGGGGAATGAATCGCATTTTTCGAGATTGCCCAATGCCCTGAAGTGAGTACATCACAGTCTCCGGGACCACACCCGAAGAGCGACAAGTTATATTTCACGTTGCCGGCGCTGGGGTCATCAAGTCAATGGGACCATTGAGGTCTAGGGACTGAACACCTGGAGGTATTGATGATATATATGAGTGGGCATCAGTAGCGACACTCGTCTATTCTATGGGATTAGACTTGTGGTTATCCAAAGAGCCCTGTCGCATACCGGTCGTCTCGAAACGCCAGAAATGTTCGGAAGTCCCCATCTATCATTAATGAACTACTCAAGATCTAGCTCTACCTGAATACTGCAGAAACTGCATAAAAGCCCTATCATCTCCAGGATATCTCTCATGACGAAAGCAACAGAATAGGAGTACCCGACGCACACGATCAGTACAGAACAATTCCATCCTTCATAAAATGGGCTCTACAATCCTTCTTTTACCGCGGAAGCCCCGGAAGTCCTATCCCATCCATCGTCAGAAAATCTGAAAGATCAAATTCCTCCAAGTTGATCAGCCCCATAAGATCTCCTGCATCAAAGTCCATTCCGGGCGGGCTCATCGGGGTAGCACTTTCAACCCCCGCAGCACCAGCAGGACCAGCATAACCAGCCGCTCTCATGCTGATGGGCTGGCTATTCGACGGACTACCGAGCCCGGTAACAGTGTTGGCAGCCATCCCAGGGGCAGGACTCCCAGCCAGACCTTGCTGGAACCGAATACGATTAACCAACCAAATGATTGCGGGCCAGGCGCCCGTAGTATGCTGACCACGGAGATCGTAGATGGTGTTGGCGAGTTGAAGTCCACGATGGCGGAGATCTACCCATTCAGGCTCCTGGAAAACGGAACTCTGGAGCTCGGAGAGGACATAGAGGATGAGGTTGAAGCCCGCGTGCGAAGTTATGTGCCATCGATAGGGTTCGTAGGCCGGGCTTGACGAAATGGCGCACCAAGTTTCTACGGCGGTGGCAGCGTCGACAAATATGCTGTCATGAATGATGGTCAATAATTTTTCCTAGGGCGTGTCCTACTACCCCTCGCTCGTCCAATTAGGTGGTTGCACATGAGCTTCGGGCTGTGGAGACAGGGGACATGGCGATTCAGGAAGACTCACTTTCGTCTCATGGCGGGAGTGATAATCTTCTCCCGATCCTGTCGGGATATTTGCATCCAGAACATGACCCAGAATTTGGTCTTGAGATGCCGGCTGAGATCTAAGGCCATCGATTGCATAGTCACCCTCTTATCGCAGTACCGAACAAGCTCGTCGAGACCCCTCTCTAGCTCGCTTGCAATCCCCGTGGCGGTCTGCAACAGTTCTTGCAGCTCCACCAAGGTTTGAGGCTTGTCAACAGTCAGACCATGCAGGCCGTTCCGCAGCCGCTTACGCGACGCATGCGTTATTTGAATTACGCGCCCGTAGTAACCGGCAGCTGTGATGCGCAGGAGGTAGATGGTCATATCAGTGAATTTGGGGGCATCAGAGAGCCCAGATAAGGGGGCAGTGCCTTCGACCAGATCTACATCGTCCAGACTGATAGGTCGACGCGTGTCGAAATCTGATGCGTGAATCGACGGCGCGAAGCCGTGATCTTCCGCAGTCCGGAAATCCAGATAGCAGATCTGCGCCCATAGGCGACGGCGCAGCTCCACCTGCACGGTGTCGATCGTCCCCAGTGGTAGGGCTAGGGGGTCCCGGTGGAGTCCCTGGAGCATTGCTATCCGAATGGCCAGGCCTGTTAAAGGCCACACTTTGCCCATGTCATCTTCTCTATATTTTGCAGTCTATAGCCGTAGATGAAGATTAGAAAAGAATGTCGTCCACAAAGTTATCTCGGTCCCTCACTAGTAATATCACAAATGCTTGCAGAACCTCAAAGATCCTTGATGTCATGAATTTCTGCCGCTTGAGAAGCACCTCCGTTCCCGTTCGATATCTTTTGAGGAGAGAGGCTTTACTCATGCCGAACATATTGAGTACATCTGCATCCTTCATACTGTTGACAGCCCCGTAAAATATAGACATGGCTAGTGGTTCAAAGGCATCTTTCTTGGCTGGACTGGGAATCGTACCGCTGTTGCGGCTTCCCCCTCCGGTCGGGGTATCCTCTCGACCGTCGGCATATTGAAAGTGCACGAAGGCGTCGAAGCGACGGGACAAACTCGGTCGGTGGATAATACGAACTATTGGGTCGACATTGGCGAGGAACATGTTCAGCAGCAAATAGCAATCTTCCCGAGTATCCGGCCAGAAGCTGTTGGTGCTAGGTGACGTTTCTAGAGGAGAATCGGTATCCCATACAACCTCGTCAAGTGTCCCAGTTGGGGAGGAGCATCTTTGAGATTCCGAGATAATTGATTGAATGTCATGGAGCTAGAAAAAAAAAAAGGAAGGCAAGAGGGTATTTAAGTTAGTATTCGTTTTTGTTTCTTTGTCCTGCCCTTTTTGCGAGCCGCGAGCTGTCAAGCGCACCTCTGCTGCCATCCAGGCCCAGTGTTTGCCAGAAACAAAGTGGGGAACTCCGTTATCCAGGATGAGGGCATCTTCCTCCAATCGCGGATTATGAACACCCGAATTGTCGGCTGCTGATGTCGGTCGCGTTGTCGAAGTGGGTATGAAGGTATCCAGCGACACCGACAAGGGGCCATGCGCTGAGGATTCCTCGTATGCTTTCGCTTGCGCCATGAAGCTGGCCAGCCGCTGCAGACCAGGATTAATTCGAGCCAGCGTCGACGAAGACATCGTGGAGCCACTGGTGCTGCTGGGTTTCGTTATTCGGTTTGACTCCTGCTTCGATACATAGGAACAGGCATAACCGCCTCGCTCACACTTTAAGCATTGCGGTTGACGACGGTCGCACTTGACCTTGCGATGACGGCAAGATAAGCATGATGTGATGGGACGCGAGAGACTACCCTGTGCCGGCGATGATATAGACTCGGTAGACGATGAGTGCGTTTCTAAGGGGTGATGTGTGTCCATTGCGAAGGTAATGGGATGGAGATGGTTGGGGAGCCTTAGTTGGATGACATAAATGGCCTGTCGTTGAGGTGGGATTCCAAGCCTTATAAACTAAAACCAAATACGCCGCTTAATGCTAGCGGATTGGGTCTCCCACCGGAGCTACTACTGCAGCTAGCCCTGTAGCTATTCCAGAACCACTTGATTCGGGCGAGTCCGGGCTAACCCCGAGCTTTATGGTTCCACCCAAACAAACCTTATCAATGAAGTCCGTCCTTTGAATTCTAGCCTAATGGTCCTCTTACCTCAAGATTGGATACATCGTCTTACATGAAGGCTAGGTTGTTTCTTGTGAGACTTGTGTATTTTGATATATAGATATTTTGAGAAGACTACAGGCACGTCAAAATTCACCAAGAAAGGGAATGTATCATTTAGGTAATCAGCATACAATCCCCAAACATATCGAACTCATAATCGCCCTTCTCCTGAATTTCCTTATAGCTTCTCATAACAAACTCTGTTCCCGCGAACGCAGCCGTAAGTACAATATGACTAGACCGCGGGCGATGCAGATTGGTAAGCAGCACATCAACAGCATTGAACTCGAATCCCGGATAGATATAGAGATCGGTCCATCCATGCTGGGGCTTGATGGTACCCTTGCGGCCGGTCTCACGGGTAATGGTCTCCAGCGTCCGCATAACAGTCGTGCCGACAGCAATAACGCGACGGCCTTCGCCCCGTGCTCGATTCAGCTGTGCTGAGGTCCTTTCACTGACCTCGTAGTACTCCGATCGCACCTTGTGCTTTTCGATCTCCTCAACACTGATATGGCGAACAGAGAGGATCTCAGTCGCCCCCACATGCAGAGTGATATAGGCGATTTCCACACCCTTGGCGGAGATCTCGGCGAGGAGCTCATGGGAGAAGTGCAGTCCGGCGGAAGGGATCTCCAAAGAGCCGGGCTTCTTAGCGTACACAGAGCGGTAAGCATCAGGCTTTTCTTTCCAGTATGTGGGGTTCATATGGATGTTCTCGTCGAGCCGGGCTCCGTATTGGTCGAGAGTTGGCAGGAGGAGGTCACCGGGACTGAACTGGACCTTCCACAGCTTATCGGGCTGCTGGTCAAGGAGAGTGCATTTGAGCTTCTCTTCGTCCAGGGAGGTGAGGGTTTGCCCTCGTTTGAAGGTAGCTTCGGGCTTCTTAAGCTCAACGATGGTGGTACCGTCTGGCTCGTGGCCGTAGACGGTTAGTTGAAGGGTTTCGTTTTTGCCGTACTCGAACCACAGGGTGTTTGACAGCATGTAGCTGTCGTTCAGCACAAGCAGGTCTCCGGGGCGGAAGTAGTCTCCGATGCTGGAGAATATGGCATGATCGATCTTGGAGCTTTCACGATCCAAGACAATCATCTTTCCGCTATCGCGGGTTTTACCTCGGAGCTCGACGGGGTCATGAGGCATGACCTTGTAGTCAAGGTCGAATTCAAACTCGGCAGTCTTCATAATTATATAAATAGTATGTATTTGAGAAAGATATATCTGAAGGAACCCCGATGAATTTGGTTCAAATATCTGTTGAGCTGAAGAAGTAGCGGCACGGTTAGGAAGACGTTTGGGCCCTTTTATCTTCCGTTCAAGTCCCATCTTAAAAGCGTCTAGAGCATTTATGTGTGCTACATTACTCGCACATCGAAGCTTGAGGTCATGTAACTGTGAATTCCTCGTAAGAGATGGATAGATAACGCCTCGCTATGCAACATTACTCGTACATGTCACAGTGGAACACGTGCACAAAATGACTGTATGTGGCTCTTGGTCTCCTTTTGCGTTCAATAGTGCTAAAGAGAGCTAGCGATGCAACATCTCCAATGACGCTGTAGCCACATTGGCCACGTTCAGTTAGCATCTGAGATTAATGGTAGAAGTGATAGTGTGAGTAGTTTTCAGCCAGATCCATCAGTTATTGCCCTTCCATCAAGAACCCTAGAGCGATGACTTTTCAGCGATTGATTTTGCCATGTAAGTGGAGTATAGGATCGGCATGAGTGAAGCCGCCGTAGCATCTCCCTCTTTAAGACTCATGCGCGGGCGGCACACTGTAGTCCGAAACCAGACACATGGTGGGTGATGCTGGAATTGCACCCGAACTGCATTTGAAGAGATTGATTTTCTGATGCAGGTTGACCTTACCCTGGACAATCATGCCTCATACCATCCGTGCAGCCTGCAGTGTGTCCTGAGGCAAGTGCTTGTTGCTCGACTTGGAGGATTTGTTTGATCTATCTCAACATGTCATACCCCGTATACACAAATTCCGTGGTTGAAAACGGGAACTAACCGGGTGCGGGTATCATGCATATCGCACTGGCGAATGATAAATGTCCGCGGAGAATTTCCAGAATGCGAACCATGAATCCTTCCGGCAGTGTCATTGGAATCTCAGACATTTCTCCTTGCTCCCCATAGCTAGTCTGTTCATGTCAGTGGCTAAATCATACTAAAGGAGGAATCTGGAATAGTATGCCGAAGCAGAATGTCACTGTACCAGACTAGAATACGGTTCTGTAATTTCTATGGGCAGCCATGGCCGTGACAAGCACAGTGATGAGGCGCACATCCCGGTATGCTACTGTAACATCCATAGAAAAGAGCTGAACATTGACATAAGAGAGGCGATGCCAATCCACATACAACATGTTACATGTCCATCTCAGACATCGGGTTACTTTCGTCTCACGCAGGGTTTCATTATAGCTATAGAAAGCATCAGGATGAGAGAAAAATTCAAGCGATGCACGAAAAAGGTACTCACTCATAGTTTCCGGGATCACACAACAGCTGCAAATCCACGGAGAATCAATTCTTCTCAATTCCACTAGTATTGAATGGTTAAAGAGGATTTACATGGAATCTTCGTATCATGTCTTCAGTCAAAACAGCTAGAAGCAATCCATTGATACTTCCTCTTTGCCCTCTCAACGACCGAACCACCACAGGCAAATACGACATCGGTCTCAATGACGATGAAAAACCTTTGGCCACCGAGCAGCATGGTTCAAAGGACTTTCATCTTTTCAATGACCGCCAACATTCCAATTCCAGCCCTCCGTTGATCTCAGAACGTCCTATCGACCAGCCCCGGCCACTGAAACTCATCTACATCGGTGCAGGCATTTCAGGAATTGTCGCTGCCATTCAGTTTCTGAAGGCTGTGCCTCACTTGGAATTGACTATTTATGAGAAGAATCCCGAACTAGGAGGGACATGGTTCGAAAACAGATATCCAGGCTGCGCGTGTGGTGAGCCTCGCAGGATCCAATCTTATGAAGTACCAACCATCACTGACTGATTGTGCAAATAGATGTGCCATCTCACACTTATCAACTTAGTTTTGAATCTTGGACTGAATGGAGCCACTTCTTCTCTGGTTCAGACGAGATCCTCGAATACTGGAAACGTGTGGCCCAGAAATACGATGTTCGGAAACATATACATTTCAATCGGCGATGCAACGAAGCACGATGGAACAATACCACCAACTTATGGACTGTTCAGATCCAAAACCTGCTAACTGGAAATACCTTCGAAGACTCAGCCGACGTGTTGATGACTGGAACGGGCTTGCTTAACGAGTGGAAGTGGCCTTCCATTCCTGGTCTACAATGCTATGAAGGACAGCTGCTTCACAGCGCTAGCTGGGATGAAGCCTTCACTCCTGAGGTGAGTTACGCTTCATTAATACACCCAATGCGCTGTTTCTGATTGGTCCTCCAGGGGAAAGCTGTAGCCGTAATCGGCTCCGGAAGCACCGCAGTCCAGATCGTCCCCGCAATAATCGACAACGTCAAGTCTATGGACCACTACATTCGTGGAGGGACATGGATATCCAACCAACACGGTAGCCCTCACCTTGCGGCACGAACGAATACTCAAGCTATGAATTTCCGTTACACGGAGAAAGAGAAGCGAAAATGGCGGGATGACCCATCATCGTATCTCAAGTATCGCAAGGAACTGGAGCTAGAGATCCAGAGCCAATTCGCCATTTCCCAACGGGATAGCGATATCCAGAAGACTGCGACAGCTCAACTCCGAGCGGGCATGCGGGAGAGACTAAAAGCAAACCCCGAGCTACTGGATCTCCTGCTGCCTGATTTTCCTCCGCTCTGTAACCGGTTGACACCTGCTCCTGGATATCTGGAAGCTTTAGTATCGCCGAAAGTCAATGTAATCGGCACAGCAATTGCTCGTGTCGATGAATCTGGTATTATCACCACAGATGGTAAACATCGCCCCGTGGAGGCGATCATCTGCGCAACCGGCTTCGAGAAAAACCTAGGGGCCAGCTTCCCAATTATAGGCCGTGATGGCAGCATCCTTTGTGACAAGTATGCCGATCGGCCAGAGACATACTTAGGTCTTTGCACCGACGGATTCCCCAACTTCTTCCAGTCCCTGGGACCCAATTCTTTTCAAGGGGCAGGAAACCTCCTCATCATGATAGAGCAGACACACGCATACGTCGCGCAGATATTATCGCGAATGGCCTATGGTAATGTCGGGATTGTAGAACCAAAGCGGAAACAGGTCCTAAATTTCACCAACTACGCGGAGAGGTATTTCGAACGAACGGTCTACAGCTCCGAATGCAACAGTTGGTACAAGTCACCTCCAGCCGGTGCAACGACTCTGCAACAGGGTAAGAGGGGTCATGTTACTGCACTCTGGCCCGGTAGTAGCCTCCATGCTATTAAAACACTTGAGCATGTGAGGTGGGAAGATTTTGAGACTACAGCATATGACGGTAATGAGATTGGGTGGTTCGGAAATGGTTGGGCTCAGGTGGAGAATTCTTCGGAGAGAGGAAATCCAGATGCAATGGCCTGGTACATGAACCGGACCTCGTTTCTTGATGGTGGTGGTTAGTTGTTTGTTAGAAACAATTTAATAGTTGGTATTTATTTTCACCTCTTTAGGGAGTTCAGGATATGTGATGCAAGCCAATCTTGCTATCAGTTTTCTCTTGTCCGAGAATGCCCGAAGTGTCCTCCTAAGACTTCATCCCAAAGCCCCTATTACGTCCCCAATAGCCAACACTATAGACCATGATAGGAACATATGTCGCACCCGCATACAGCATGTCCATTGATGCATACATAACCTTTTAACAGTTGCAATCCTTCTCTTCAAGTTCAGCTGTGGGTGTAAAATAGAGCTAATCCTGAACTAGGTAAAATTCCAGTCTCTTTAGCGTATTTTTTAGTGCCAATAACAATGGCCAGTCTTCGCCTTCTGTGGCTATGCACGGATGCCTGAGGACGACAACATCTTCGCCAACCCAGCCTCGCGAAAGTAAAATGGGCACCTTCAGCTCAGCAAAAGGTAGAACCCTTCGATTCTTTTTATGTCATTACCAAGATGCCCAAACATCTAGAGAACTTTCCTTTACATCCAGAACGAAACGAAATCCGTCTCCTCACTATCTTACCCAGCACAAAGGCTGAATCCATAATCAGGTGCTCTCTCAAGTCTGTATCACTGGACAATAGCCCTGAGTTTGAGGCTATTTCGTATGTCTGGGGAGATGCCTCGAAGAAGACGGATATAATCATCAATGATACCCTCTTTTACGTGACACGGAGTGTGGATAAAACGCTCCGTCTTCTTCGCCGTAAGTATCGGCGACGAGTGGTATGGATCGACTTTGTCTGCATCAATCAGCATGATGTCCCTGAAAAGAACACACAAGTCCCATTACTTGGGCGTGTTTATGAGAGCGCGTCTGCAGTTATTGCTATGATGGTGAATAGTAACATGGATCTACGTGCTGCGATTTCCTGGACAAAGGCATGCGAGCCGGGCCGGATCACTCAAGAAACTGGTGCATGGCGTGTCCTGGACAAACTGAGCAGATACCACCAGAGAGATCGAGACCTAAGGGCGATGCGGCTGCTCAACGCGTACGAACAATTCCGACTCGTCAAGGATGACCCTTACTGGACACGCATGTGGACATATCAGGAATACCAGCTGGCCAATTGCTATCCAATTTGCATGAGTGGAACACTCACATTCAATGCTTGCTTAATGCTCTCATTCGCCCGTGAGAGTCTAGTGAAGGCATATTGGAACGATCAACAATTTCAGGAAGCATTTAGACGAAGGTATGGTGAGGCAGAATTCAGAAAGCTTTGGCTTCTTCATGGGCCAACCGAGCGATCCAAAAACGAGTATGCCCTATATCACTTTCACAAGACTTGGCATCGACAGTGCAAGGATCCTCGAGATAAAGTGTACGCACTTTACAGTCTGCTCCCTTCTCTACAAACCAAATACCCGCCGGACTACAATAAATCAGTTGAGCAGGTCATGCACGAAACAACAGCATATATCGTGACACAGAAATGCCCCCTCGCTCTGAGCTCCTTCAAACTCTGGCAAGAGAATCGTTCACCTGGTTTCTCATCTTCTTATCCGTCCTGGATTCTCGACTTCGGTTGTGCCGCTGAACCTCTGGATGCCTTCCTCGGTGAATTTGGCTGGTACTCAGACGCCGGGGTTCCATTGCCTACGACCACAGACGACCTGTCCACTATGACAATTTGTGCTCGTAGCATCGGCTCCTGCTTCCCAGTTGTACAACTGGCCTCTACAATGCCAGATATCATCGATCAATTTGTTAGCATCACAGATGTACGCTATGATACCTGGGGGAGCTTGGAATCCAGGCGTCTAAGTCTCGTGCATGCGTGCCTGGCTTATACTCATCTTCACGGCAAATTTACACTTAATCTAAGCGCCAAAACAGCAGAGACATTCCATCTTCTCCATGAGATTGACATACATCGCGCAAGCGACCCGTGGTGGCAGGAGCTCTGTAATGTTCTTCCGTCGAATTCTGGGAAGATTGTTTTCGGAGTGGATGATCCGATAATTGAAGGGTTCGGAATCAGCGGACCTAATGTGCAGCACGGAGACGTGATCGTGATGGCTCTCGGAGTAGACATGCCGCTTATACTTCGTCCTTATCGGGAAGACAACGGGATCTATTATCGCCTAGTGGATAGAGCCTACATTCCCTTGATGTCCGAAATTGCTATAATACAAGGCAGGTTTGACGATGCTCGGTTCTTCGAACGTCCACCTCAGGTGTTTTCTCTACGATAGATCGTCTCACTGTCACAGCTGCATATACTATACGGGATGAACTTCGGGGCTATGTCAACATGATGTGATGTATCACCTGTCTTCTGGAGGCTAGCGATATTCATTGTATTAACCCTGAAACCCAGATAGCGTGGCTGTATCTAGTCCCGCTGTGTCCAAAGCTCCTGCGAAGGGCCGAGCTTCAACACAGAGCGTGTATCATCGTCGGTTAGGATCTCACATTGCGCTGTCTGGCGAGTGTTTATGCAAGCCCCACGACACGTCACTCATTTAGGAATTAATTTAGTCAAGTGACAACGAGTCATTAGCATCCCACATGGGCTGTATCCATACCACGAGAGCGAGATCATCCACCTCCTCTACCTGTGCGCCTACCTCCAGCAACCCGGCCGCTCCATCTGAGACGTCGTCACGGAAGCAGGCATGACGGTCTTTTGGCCGTAATTCATCGAGGATTCGGATGACGGCTCTACATCCCCCGTCGTACCTGTCCAGCTGTTCCTGGGCGATTGTGATAAGGCGCAGGTGTCTGAGTCACTGAAGCATCCTGTCGGGAGGCCGCTGAGTACGTTTCCACGTCGGTGACGGGGGGGATGCGTGGAGGAGAGTGCCGGTTACGTATGTGGCTACGACGAAGGATTGTTCGCTCCCGAGAGGGCATCGGTATTTTAGATTGGGGAGGGTCAGAGGGGGGGGCGGTGGATGTTAGGGTTGTGCAGGTGGATACGACGTATAGTGTTTCTTTTTTTGTCCGGGTTGTGGGGGAGGTTGTGGGGGATGAGAGGGATCCTTGAGATGGGGGCGGGGCGGTTGTGCTTTGAGGTACAGGAGTAGTACTAGGGGAAGAGGGTCGTTGATGGTGACTGGGTAGGAGACTGGGTGAGTTTGTGATATAATATATAGTATTATTAATACCTTGTGGTGGTGATATTCTGTGGTGGCGGCTGAGAGTGGTAAATATATATTCATTCTATGGGGGGGGGGGTCACTATTTTCGGCTCAATATATAGGTACCTACTTAGTACACCGTGCAGGCACTTAAAGTTCGAGATACTACTCATACTATCGGTAAATTATGCTACAGTTCGACTACATGTTGAGCGAATATTAGGTACGAAGGTCTTGTGTCTTGGGAAGTACAGCCAGCACCACGCATACTAGTAGAAAACTCAACAAGCTACTAATGAGATCCTATTAAAGTAGAAGCAGTTTCACGAATGATTCCTTAATTGGCATGTCGCCACACTAGTGAATAAGTGAAAAAAGAAACCCGCATCAAGCGGTATCTACAGTTATACTAACTCTGCGTCTCATCCTCACTATCCTTATCCTCAGGCATAGTAATCGGCAACCCTGAACCCGAAGAAATCCTCTTCCGCTCCATCTCCACCGCAATCTCATCCAGCTCATTCTCAATATCCAGATGAATGCGCAATCCCTTCTCAACAAGCACGTTATAAATATGCCTGAGTTCATCGAATCCCATACCGTCGCCCTTTCTACTCTCCTGCGGATATTGCTCCCGGATAACATCTGCCCGGAGATGAGTAAACGCAAGCATGATAAGCTCCTTCGACCAAGGGCAGGCGCGCATCCCGCGGTAAAAGACATTCTTTGCTCGTTGAATGTCGTTACGAGACAGTTCGAAGAGGATGTAGAGCTTCCAGATGGTGATACTGGAGTGGCCGGTGGAGGTGCTAGACCCTTTGTGGATGGTGTCGCCAATGGCTTTCTCGAATGCCGCACGGACAGAGTGCATGGTTGATCCGGCATAAGTAGGACGATTGATTTCGGTGTATATGGAAAAGAGATGTGTTGTTATGGGGACTGGAGCGGCTGTGAGATTGTCTGTGTTGGTATCGACGCTGGTGATGTCCCGTATTGTGTCGCGAACGCGCTCTTCAATGCGGAACCGGGATTCGTTCCAGGCAAAGAGGGATAGGAATATGGTGTTGTGGCGAGACACTGATATGCTTTCGGATAAGAGGGAACGGATATGTGAGGGTTTGTAGATGCCACTTGTGCGGATGTGGTGATACAGAAGTCGGGCCCGGGATTGATGGAGGAGTTCGGTCGTGAAGTTTGCGAATGACTTGGACCGGTCGGGTAGGGCAGCTAGCCTGGCGAATGCATTGTGATAGTATTCCAGGGACCTGCTTAGATCGAGGGAATTGGAGAGGTACGATAGGATAGCTAGGCAGTCTATGCATGACATGAAGACGATAGGCTTCTCGTTCGCAAGACCAATTTCCTGTGCTTCTGAAAGGTACTGGATGGAAAGTCAGCATGGTGGAAGGGCCGGTAAATTTGGTAAACATACACTATGTATCTTCAGCAAACTTGTCGGGCTGAAGGACGGGTGACTGGAAGCATCGGAAAGGATCTTCAGATCAATGCTATTCTGGGGCATCGAAAGGAGGAGATGAGATGCTTGAGCCGCATTTCCAGCGTCGAGAAGCTCCCAAATCCAGGTGCGCCACACAATAATACTATCAACCCTGTCGCGATCAGGGAAGGACTTGCTCATAGAGAGGGAAGTCGCCCATACATGATCGGCAGCTGCTTGATTGCCGAAGCGCCGCTCTATCAGAGCATAAGCATTGTAAAGTCGCAGGCTAGACGATCGCTTCTTGAGCAGCGATTTCGCGAATTTTCTCGCATCCTTGCTTTTACACGCAAGTTCAAGAGCAAGACCGTATTCGGCTAGATCATCATCTTCAGGCTGCGCTTCTATCAACGAGCGGACGGCTCGGCGAACCCACACAGGGTCGACATCGGATTGTGAATTAGAAGTGGCGTCGCTCCAGGTTTTAAGGGCAGAAAACCATTTAGCAGGATCAGCAAACAAAGTATCCAGCGTAATTATATAGTTTTGATGAGGGAAAAGCATAGGAGATGCGACCGTGGGCTCTATGTCAGCGGCCACACCAGGAAGCCAATCCGCAAGCGTTGCATGAAAATTGCTTGCAAATTCGTTCTGCACGAAGCCATCCCCGTTCCAGCGACTTGTCGTACCCCAATTGTCAACCGACGAAATGGGTGGAAGATGAGAATAATAGAAGAAGCTATCAATCAGCACTCCTACAGGCGTTGACTGCCATGCCAGCGACAGAATCTCTTCGAGATCAGGTGCAATGATGACTCTGTAGGGGTCATCTTCCTCCGAATCATCAATACTGCGGGCTGGCAACCGAGCATTGACGATTCGTTCCCGTTCGGACGGTGCCCAGGAGGCAAACACGGCTTTTGGGTTCAGTTGAAATTGAAGCTTTTCGCTGGAATTCGCATTTCGCAGCACATTTCCCTCGTTCTTCCACCCTTTGGCGCCCACTTCTCCGATGCGGGAGACCTCCGACTCCCAGTACTCCAGAAAAGCTGGTATTACCTCTTCTGGGCCTTTGCTTCCATCAAGCGAGCCGGGTCGGTAGAAAGTCAGCTCCAAAAGACCTTGCCAGAGAGCCGCGGCATGCTCTGTAAACCCAGCTTCCCGGATGAACAATGTCAACCTAAGGAACAGATAAAAGTGGATCTGGGTCTTCTCGGGTTTGTCGAAAGAAGACTTATTGAGTCTCAGACACTCCAGAAAGGTTGCAAGGCACCGTTCATACGTGAAGTCCAGAAATTCAGTTTGACGAAAGTCGAGATATCGGATCCAGAGGTTGATGTACTCGGAATTTGATTTCAGTATCGTCTGCCACTGAGCCGATAGCTTCTTAGTGTCCCAGAGTTTTGCCCCTTCTTCGAGAAGGCCGAGCAGGAGGCGATCCTTTGCAGGGCTCGGTCCGACCTTTTTCAGTGCTTTCTCGTACAGTGATAGCTTGATGTCGGCTAAGCCCATCTTTTCTGCGTATGTCAAAGAGCCAAATTCCCTCTCCGGTCCTCGAAGGAGCGACTCCTGATGGTCGATAAGCGTTAGCCACGCGGAGACATCATCAGGGTGTTTCTCGACAATCTGCAGTAGCTCCGCATTCCGCTGCTTGATCTCATGGTCGGGGTCACTCCGGCCGCCCTCTTTATCCGAATCCGTATCGGACACGGCTTCAACATCACTGGGCAAGTAATCCTCTGGCTTAGCTTTGCCGTGAATCGACCGATACGCGTGTTTGTCATCATCCGAGTCGACTTCTAACAGATCCAGATGCTTCCCATTCTTAGACACACTCAGGGAAATGTAGTCTCGTGACGTTTCTGCGGCTGCATCCACCAGCGATTCTGGCCGTATTCGAAGTAGTCGGGATCTACCCTTGTCTAGACCTGCGAGCAGATTCTTCGCCTTCTTCTTTGACTTTCCCTCTTTCTTCTCGTTCGTGACGATTAACACGTCCTCAACAGCGCTTTCCCGGTCGATCTTATAGCTGGAAGGCAATCCCAAGACGTTGCCCCGACCGACGCGATAATATTGTGGAACGCTATATCGATGTAACGTTCCATATATGAGGTTGTAGCGATCGCCCTTGCTATCTATAACATACAAATCCGAGGCTTCCTCGGGCGGTTGCTTCACGGTGCGGGTCGATGTGGATGCTCTTGGATATTCGGGGGTGGGCTCTCGGCGGCGATGACTTGCTTCTTTTCGAGAGGACCGATGCTCCCTATGGCTCCTACGACGTTCTCGGGACCTAGAACGGTCATGATGGCTGCTATGTCTCGACCGATGCCTCGAGTGGTGGCTAGACTTCACATCGCGGTCGGAGGTGTCGCGACTGGGGCGCCCGGGCGGCCGATCAGCTTCGGACGGAGGTGCTGGCCGCGGCTTGAAGCTGGCGAAGCGGGGGATGGATTTCTTTTCCTAATGTGAAATTTGAATTAGCATCATACGAGTAGATAGAGCGCAATATTTGAGTCAAACATACCTGGGAGCCAGACGAATCCATGCTCCTGGAGAGGTGAGGCCTGCCTTTTTGAGGGGGAGCTTCAACCAAAGGCGGCGGCGATGGCAGGCTGGAAAAACTAGGTTCCCGCTTCCCGCATTTTTTTCCGGTTTGATTCCAACGGCCTCAAAAAAAAGTTGCTCCGAGCCATTCGAGATCTCCACGCTGCTCGGGGAATTACTGCCCGCCAACGCTTGGGGTCTTGACAAAAGTTTTTCGGTGTTGATATTTGAGGGATGGATGTGATTTGCAGTTATCGATAAACAAATTTTTTCATCGTCAACATGGCCTCGTCCCTCGCCGCGCAGCTGTCGCAGATTGCGGCAAAGTCGACAAATCAGTTGAACCTCAAAGCGCAACGCATTGCGCACTCGCAGTCTCTCATCTTTGACTGGAAGACCGCTACTACACAGGATTTCGATTCCGTCTACCAAATATGCTTCGAAGGTTTCCAGGAGTTATGTCAGCTCGATCCTCGTTTCGCGTCGTTCGAGCGCACCATCTTCAGCGAACAGAGCAAGGCGGAGGACCGAACAGAGATGAACGCTGCTCAGAATAAGGAGCTGGACACTGTTCTGGAGGCTTTCCTTGCACTTGTTGGAGGTCACTTGCTGCTTAGCCCGGCCGTGAAAGCCGTTGACTGGCTTATCCGGCGTTTTCGGTATGTCTGGCATGGGGACTCGACCTTCATTCAACGCGCTAACAGGCTTATAGGGTGCATGAGTATAACACAGAATTCACAATCCTCACTTTCCTCCCTTACTATACCACCCCACTCTTCCTCAACCTCCTTTCGATCCTGCCCGAAGACCTGACGCCGACCTTCAAAATCCTCAACCCGTACAAGAAGAGCCAAATCAACCCTCCACGCCATCCTCTCGTGCACAGCGCTACTACCAACAAACACTTCCTCGCCGCTGTCAACAAATACACCCTCCAAGTCAGCAAACAGCGGGCGCATCATCATGCGCTTTTGTCGTTTTGGGCGGGAACTTTGACCGAGGCGGTTGCGGGGATGTTGGACTCGGCTCGCTCTGGCCGACGGGAACTCGAGAAGGAAAAGCATGAGGATGTTATCATGAAGGTTCTGCCGGTCCTCAACGACGGTCTGGCTCTGAAGGACGTCTCCGAGCTGGTGATTGGCTGCTACATGGTTTGCGTGGTTCTTGCACAGAAATCTTCTCTCCAAGACAAGCTTCTCGATGGACTGATGGAGGCCGTTGCCGGATCATGGACAGACGAGACTAAGGAATCGGGCCTGATTTGCTTGTCAGTCCTGGCACAGAAGAAGCCCGACGCCCGGATCCCCAAGCGCGCCCTTAAGGCGATGCTTCGCTTGGAAGATCCGGTGCAGCAGCTGTCTGCAATCTCGGCACAGTATCCGACATCGCACTTGCTTCTTGGCTTGGTTGCGGGATGTGTCGATGATCTCTCGAAGCAGAAGGATTCATCACGTTTGGATCTGCTGTCGCTGTTGTTCGAGACCAATCTTCTGGGCGAGCAGGAAGCGGGCCAGGCCATCGCTATTATTCTCCAATCCGTCAGCCGTGCTCATACAGAGGGCGTGCTTTCCTTGGACGCTCAGACTCACCTCGCAGAACTTGTCCAGCACTTTACTCAGTCCGAATCACTCCGACCCATCTTCCAGAAAACGATCGAGGAATCCTCCATCGATGTCGCGGCACTCGAACATAACCTACAAACTGTGATCGAATCTGTACCCACCACCACACCAGCCATTGAAGACGTTGAGATGGAAGATGCCCAGCAAGAAGCAGTCGAAGATAACTTTGCCTCTGTCCTTGAGTCAGTGGCAGGCAAGAATGTGGAAGCGTCTGCTCTCAGTGCGCAATCGATGCCCGCCTATGAGAGCCTGGTGCAGACCTTTGCACTTGCTGTCGGATCCCAGGATAAATTGCAGGCTTTTGTCGACTTGCCTGGTCTCAAGAAGGCAGATGCCTCAACTTCGCCACAGTACCTGTCATTTTTTATCCGCACTTTCTCCGGCTCGTACCCCATCGGCACCAGGATCACCGCACTGAACCAAATCTCGTCCCTCCTTACTTCCGCTAGCCCCGATGTCGATGTTCAGGCACTCCTGCCATTCCTACTGGTTGCTCTGGCAGATTCCTCGGAGAGAGTTCGGCGCGAGGCAGCGGGCGTTCTGGCCACAATTGGGAGCTTGTATAAGAAGAGCAAGAAGGGTGACGCCAACGTTTGGGCACGCGACACGATTTACGGCAAACAATCGAAGAACGTCCAGTGGATCGCCGGCCGCGATGTGCAGAAGATCGTCGAGCGCGCCTTCCTTCCCGGCCTCGAGGAATATGTCCTCGATCAAGCCCACATTAGCCGGGTACTTGAGGCCACATTGCGCGGATCTTCAACTTCCGACTCTGGCGCAACGGAACTGAAGAAGCCCCTTCGCTTGAGCCTCTTCACCTTCCTCTGCTCCCACGCTGTGCAGATGCCCCTTTATGCTCCAAAATTGTCTTTGCTCAAGCTTCTTAACCGCGTCGATAAGGCCGGCGGAACAACCCGTACCAAGGAACTTGGTCCGTTCATGAAGACTTGGCGGGATATGAAGGAGCAGACAGCCAAGGACGTCTGTGAACGGGAGCGCGTGTCTGTCGCAGATGTCGACCGAGAGGCTGTCTTGACGGTCACCCCCAAGGACAAGGACGCTATTACTTTGCTGTTGTCTAATGTTAGCCCCTACTCGGATTCCCTACGGCCCTCTTTCGTCACAGCCATCTTCAACCGCATGAAGGCTGTTTGGGGGACTGTTCCGGAGGAGCTGCAGGTCGACGCCGCAGAGAAGCTGTTCGAGATCTCTCTCGAAGATGTCCAGACTCCACTGGTTCACGGCTGCAGGGAAGTTCTTCGCAGTGTTGAACTCACTGGTTCTGTGCTTCTCCAATTCCTTCGGAAGATCCCCGTGTCTATCACTGACATGGAGTCTCTTGGACCGGCGCCCAAGCGGAGACGCACTAGTCAGAACAACATGGTCGCTATGACCATCAAGGATGAAGCCAAGCTCAGCCAGCTCATGGAGAAGATGACTTTCATCCTGGAACTGGTCGACAGCTCGACCCCTGAGGCTCATCCTGAGTTGGCCGATGGATTGTTCCAGACTTTGGCCGCACTTCATCATTTCAAGGCCCAGATCCAGTCTGGCTTGAGCTACTTGCTGAGCTTGACGCTTGGCAGCCTTCTTGCCATCGTCAATCGGTCCAAGGGAACTGCAAAGGCTCAATTCGACACCTCCGTTATCCGGGCCGACCTCGTTGTTGACTGTGTTCGTACCACTGACAGCCCGCAAGTACAGAACGCAGCTCTTCTGCTCGTCGCGGGCTTGTCCGTCATTGCTCCTGAATTGGTTCTCCACAGCGTGATGCCCATCTTCACCTTCATGGGCTCTAGTGTCCTGCGCAAGGACGATGAATACTCAGTCTCCGTGATCGATCAGACAATCGATCAAGTTGTCCCCGCTCTCATCCAGTCCCTGCGCAACCAGAAGCGTGATGTTGTGTCCGGAACTTCCGAGTTGTTGCTCAGCTTCACTGCTGCCTTTGAGCATATTCCTTCTCACCGCCGCCTGCGTTTGTTCCATGCTTTGGTCACGAAGCTCGGAACTCAGGAGTTCTTGTTCGCGGTTCTGGCCATGCTCGCCAATCGGTATGCTCTGGATAAGGATGTTCTCATCCTGATGACCGGGTTGGTATCTGATGCTAGTGCACCGGTTGAACTCAGCGTAAGTCATTTGATATCGCATGCATCTTTGCACGTCGTTGCTGACTTCTTCAATAGACATACAGCAAATACTTGGACCTGGTCAAGGATTCACTCAGCTCCAAGCCTGGTATTTCCCAAGTTCTTCTCGGCATTGGTAGCGACGATGGCCGCGAGCCCCAGAAGGTTGCAGTTGACTTGCTTCGCGCACTGGCTTATCTGTTCAAGCACTCGTCTCTGAAGGTGAAGATGGCCAAGGATTTCGCAACAGAGGAAGACAAGGTTGTTGGACAGATCCGCACGCTTTTCTCTCGCATTCTGGAGCAGGTCCTGGCCATTGGCGAATCCATGCAGAACGTCAAGCCTGTCAGCCAGGCCAGCGGCGATGTTCTCAGCGCTCTGTTTGGTACCCTGTCGCTCGTGGACTTCCTCGACACGATTGAGGTGCTGCTGCAACGTCGCAACGACGAACTGCGTCGTAAGGTTCTCCGACTTCTGGAAGGTCGCCTCCGTCAGAATCCTGAACGCGACGGTGCCTCGCAACACCGCATGCTCGACTTCCTGCCCACTCTGGTCAACATCGTCCAGTCATCGCCAGACATTCTCCTTAAGCACGCTGCAGTGGCCTGTATCGATCGCATTGCCGAGAAGTACGGCCGGAAGGAGCCGACCAAGGTCATCCATGCTGCCCAAGTGGTTGCTAGCGAAGCCTGCATTGGACAGGATGATGAGCGTATTCGCATCATGGGTGTCTTGTGTCTTGCATCTATGGCCGAGGTCCTTGGAGAGGCTATGATTCCCGCGCTTCCTGACGCCCTCAGCCGTTCCCTTGCCCTGCTCGAGCAGAGTCTGGAAGATGGAAAGGAGAATGCACGCCTGCACGACGCCGTCTTCTCTTTCTTCTCTGCACTTTTCATCCATATCCCCTTCATGGTGTCTGGCTCTCACCTGGACAAGATTCTTGTTCTCTCTTACAAGTCTGCTGTTTCTGAGGGTATTGAGGATGAGAGCCGCGAAGAAGCTCTTCAACTCATGGCACGCAAAGTTGATGTGGCTGCTACGTTCGCTGCTATCGATCGCAACTGGCAGCATGCTGTCAAGGCAGGCCCTGACGCTACGAGAGAGACTCTGGGCGTCGTTAGCCTTGCTATCGAGAAGCACCAGAAGTCTGCGACTGTTAGAAACATTTCAGTTCTCACCAGCATCCTGTTCAAGGCATTCGACCTGCGTCGCGAACAAGTATCTCTGGATACCCAGGCCAACTTCGAATT